ACATATTTGTATTAGAATAAACTTTGTAAAAAATTGTTTAAGCTCGCTGTCTATAAATTGGTGTTATATAAATACTTGAAAACAATGTCAAATGATTACTTTCCAATGTCAAAAACAATGTTCGAAAAACTTGCATAACTTGCTTATATTTTCAGTTACAGATATAATCTTTGCGTATATTTTCAGTTACAGATATAATCTTTGCATATATTTTCACTTACAGATATAATCTTTGCTTATATTTTCAGTTACAAATATAATTTTTGCTTATATTTTCAGTTACAGATATAATCTTTGCATATATTTTCAGTTACAGATATAATCTTTGCTTATATTTTCACTTACAGATATAATCTTTGCTTATATTTTCAGTTACAAATATAATTTTTGCTTATATTTTCAGTTACAGATATAATCTTTGCTTATATTTTCAGTTACAGATATAATCTTTGCTTATATTTTCAGTTACAAATATAATCTTTGCTTATATTTTCAGTTACAGATATAATTTTTGCAGAACATCTTGATTTAAATAAGTTTAGAAACAGAATCTTGTTATATATATATATATAACTTGCTGTTATACGTTCTGCTCGTCTAGATAAGTGAAATTAATCTTTTCTAACAGTGATATGTATATAAAACTGCTACCTTAAACTGGAGTTTTTGAAATGTTAGAGTTTATTCATTATTCGTAAGACTTGCAATAGATTTAAGTTAACGCTTTTACTATTTTAAATATTTTTTTACCAAAAATTGTTAAAAATTACATGGCTGGATTTTATTTACTGTTCACGAAATTTGAAGTCGATTTTAACTCAGTTTTTTATTATTTGTAAACATTTTTGATATATATATATATTAAATTGTGTTGTGTTATTTGTCGTTCAAAATAAGATTTGGTACAGATTGAAAAGAGCTGTTTTTCTTTTAGTAATGAGAGTACTCATAGACAACTAATGGATTTGTGTCACCGATATATTTTTGTTCTGCGGGCATGCGTAGGGTTAGTCAGTATGTAAGCGTGGGTTACAAATGAAGAGTTCAGATACGATGGGTTATTATATTTCATTAATGTTTTACTTGTTTCTGTATTATGTTTCACGTTGATTACACAACACGTATATATATATAAAATGTTGGATGTACGTGTCATGTTTTCCCAAGGTTATAAGTTTAGCAACGATGTTTTTTTTTCTTGCTCTTCAGATTGTTAACCTTTTCTTATAAAACTTCATTTGTGTAGTTTCTTACTCTTGATTTTTTTACGAGTCTTTACGCTGAGTGCATAAAGAAACTAAAAGAAAGAATTCGCGCGATAAAAAGTGTTATTTTATTTCCACGTTACGTAGTAACTGTGTACACATTAGATTGTTCAGGAGTTTAAAATTTGTCAAATAAACTGAGGGCAGCTTTTTTTTTATATGTTTCGTCTATAAGCAATCTTTGTGAAAAATTAAGTATGAATAAATTTTATAAAATAAAGTAACAGTTTGATTGTTGTGGGTCTATAAGTTACCTATGTAGCTTGTTTTCCAAGTGTGTCTTTCAATCTTCGCCTGTTAACATTTGTCAGCCTGTTTACAAATAGTTGACATATATTTTTCTGTGCTAGTAGCATAGTTGAGAGTAAACTGAGTTTACCCACTTCTCATTTAGAGAATAAAGCGTTTACTCACTCCTACTCTCTCGTGATAGACAACTTGTAGCTATACGAAGGGTTAATGTGAAGGCATCTCCCAATTTATTGTATAGAGTGACTTGGGCGCATAACGGACAGGATCTCTTCCGATTAAGAGTAGTTTACCCACTCTTTTCTCGAAGCCCCGTCCCACCAAATATGCTCGCCTTTTCAGTCGTGGGGGGCGTTATAATGTAACGATCAATCCCGCTATTCGTTGATAAAAGAGTAGCCCAAGAGTTGGCGGTGGGTGGTGTAACTAGCTGCCTTCCCTCTAGTCTTTCAATGCTAAATTAGGGACAGCTAGCGCAGATAGCCCTCGTGTAGCTTTTCGCGAAATTTGTAACAACAAACAAACCCACTCCTTTTTTCTTTCTTTTTTTACAATAAACCACTGATCTGTACTGTGTTGTTTGTATTTTAATATGACATTTTAGACAGCAGTAATGATGTGGTAGTCAAGAAGGTAATTAACTCGTGACAGATTCTGTATGAATATGTCCTAATGAGTCACGAGCACTTGAAGAAATACCATTAATGTTGTAAAAATATGGCACTAAACGACTCCTCTGGGGGTATAAGCAGCGTACCGCCACAACTCGACAGATTAGTTTGACGAGCAAGCAACCTTTATATAAAAGATGGTACATAAGAATTGCCTGTCTTCTCTTCGAAATGTTGCAAAAGCAAGCGAAATACCAATATAGAAATGTATAAATTATACTTGAATTTGTTATAGCTAAATAGGTTTATAAGAGAGAGAGAGAGAAATAATTGAACTGTATACACACTACTTAAGTGAGGACATTAAGAACGATTGATAAACGAACAGTTGTATTAATACACACATACCAATACTAATACCTCAATTTATTTTATTTTCTTTTTTTTGACAACTCTCTGAACCGTATATGGAATTAGCCGTAGAACCTGCAGTACCACAGACCCACATAGTTCAAACTGAACCGTATATGGAATTAGCCGTAGAACCTGCAGTACCACAAACCCACATAGTTCAAACTGAACCGTATATGGAATTACCCGTAGAACCTGCAGTACCACAGACCCACATAGTTCAAACTGAACCGTATATGGAATTACCCGTAGAACCTGCAGTACCACAGACCCACATAGTTCAAACTGAACCGTATATGG